TTTAAACGGTCAAATATTATTGCTAGAATATCTCAGTATTCGTGATTACAGCTGATAGCTATTTTATCAAATGATCATTATATCTGACACAGTCACTAAAATATTAAACAACAAGGGCAGTTGTAAGGTTATAAATAGTTTAATAACGATTCTTGATTAAATTCGATAAAATTTAAATTGGGAAAAAAGAAGGTATATAAACAAATTTGAATTGATCATAAAGTGCTAAATAAGGTTTGATTATGTTAAAAATAGCAAGCATGCTAAATATTCACTAGACAAGCTGTAAAATTACTTTCAGTATTCAACTAAAAATAGTAGCTATCATTGTTTGTTAAAGAGTCTTATAACAATCGACGTTAAATTTGTTATCGGTCCATGTATGCAATAAATCGTATGCTGGTTTGCAGATGCTGGTTAGGATAGATTAGATTAGAACTTTTAACATAACTTTTTCCCCACTGCCAATAGAAAGAACCATTTTCAGAAGCACGGAAAGGTTTTCCACGCCATGAAATCGTATGTGAACGTATGTTACTGTCCGTTTCCAACTCTTCGATAACAAGGTGAATTTTTTCCGGTGAAACGTTGATAAGATGGGGGTAAAAACTATTTCCAGAATGATACTCAGGGCCCCTTCTCACTAGCTGAATATTGAACAGATCAGGCTGTTCTATTGTCCCTGGTGTGACTTTGATGATAAATCCACAAGCAAGGTCACTCAAATGTAAGCACTTTTGGCGCTTATAACGAAATGAATGCAGAGTTTCTTCAGAATAAAATTTATCAAGATTCACGGACGTCTCTGCAGCAATTCTTACTGAATTTCTGAAAGAAACAAGGTCCCTACAGTCCAGCAACAAATTTAACGCTCTGGGATAATACCTAAAGCCCAAATGTTCAAGAAATTCTGGATGTACGTATGAAAATCCTCGACGAGCCTTCAGCAGCATCAGTTTTTCTACTACATTGTCAGAAAAGTGGTCGAAGCAATTCCAACAATTTGAAGTAAACATTTTTAACCCCTCAAAAACCATGTACATGTTAGTTACATCCTTTGAGTCTGACAAGGCATCTAATACAAAGGAAATTTCTTCATCGTCAGGGAGCTCACATGCTCTATCTTCAACTTTTCTGAGGCATTTATCATCAAGAAGAACGTTAAAAAAAAACCTCATACTTAGGTTCACTGAGTGAAGAATTCTCAGCCCCCTTTATTTTGATCTTTTTGGAATTCAAAGAGAACGATGATTTCAACGAACTTCTCAACAGTTGAGCCACAAACTTAGCATCAGGACCAGTTAATTTATCAATGCCCTCAGTCAAAATGTCGAAAATTTCATCACACAACTCAGGGGCAACTGTTCTGCACTTTACAAGGTCAATGTGCTCGAGCAGGTATCTTGAGTTCGGACTGAGCCCATTCTCTCCAATTTCAGAAATACTTGTATGAATAATACTTACCAAAGATGAGACGTTTTCTCCAGACATTTTGATCATGATATCCAGTTTATCTAACGATGCACCAGAAAAATCGTCAAGGTAACGAAGAACAAAATCCGTAGCTAAGTTTTGATGATAACGATGAGAAATCTTCAAAAACTTCTGAAGAGCTATTTCTTGAAGCTGTAAATCTTTTATAGCCACATTAGCATGCAACGCTTCGTCTATCATCCAGCTCATTAGTGGGTATAAATAACTATCGAAGTCATCATGTGAGTCCAATTCCCAATTATCATCAATGATGTCATCATAGAAAGTCATACATTTTCGTGTAATCCATTCAACCTTGAACACTGTTGATATCTTGTTCAACTCACGGAAATTCTCCTTATTAAACTCAATTCTACCACTGTACAATGAACTGAGGAATACTCTTACAATGTCAGGACTAAAATCATCTGCATCAACAGTGGTAAGTCCTAGGTTGAAAAACATGTTCTGAAAGACTGGGCTGTGGAGCCCAAGTATCATAGAGTTTGCCTTCATCTTCTGATTGTCCATTAAGTTTATCTCAATGTTTCCATGAACAGGACAGTCCAGATTTTCAATACCAAAATCTGCTGGTAAATCTATCTTTGAAACCACCATCCTGGGACAAGAAACTTTAATTACTGTTAGCTTTGACTGATTTGTTGTCATATTTACACGAAACCTTTAAACGGTCAAATATTATTGCGAGAATATCTCAGTATTCGTGATTACAGGTGATAGCTATTTTATCAAATGATCATTATATCTGACACAGTCACTAAAATATTAAACAACAAGGGCAGTTGTAAGGTTATAAATATTTTAATAACGATTCTTGATTAAATTCGATAAAATTTAAATTGGGAAAAAAGAAGGTATATATAAACAAATTTGAATTGATCATAAAGTGCTAAATAAGGTTTGATTATGTTAAAAATAGCAAGCATACTAAATATTCATTAGACAACCTGTAAAATTACTTTCAGTATTCAACATTCAACTAAAAATAGTAGCTATCTTCGTTTGTTAAATAGTCTTATAACAACCGACGAAAAAAATTTGTTATCGGTCCATGTATGCAATAAATCGTATGCTGGTTTGCAGATGCTGGTTAGGATAGATTAGATTAGAACTTTTAACATAACTTTTTCCCCACTGCCAATAGAAAGAACCATTTTCAGAAGCACGGAAAGGTTTTCCACGCCATGAAATCGTATGTGAACGTATGTTACTGTCCGTTTCCAACTCTTCGATAACAAGGTGAATTTTTTCCGGTGAAACGTTGATAAGATGGGGGTAAAAACTATTTCCAGAATGATACTCAGGGCCCCTTCTCACTAGCTGAATATTGAACAGATCAGGCTGTTCTACTGTCCCTGGTGTGACTTTGATGATAAATCCGCAAGCAAGGTTACTTGAGCACTTTTGGCGCCTATAACGAAATGAATGCAGAGTTTCTTCAGAATAAAATTTATTGAGATTCACGGACTTCTCTGCGGCAATTCTTACTGAATTTCTGAAAGAAACAAGGTCCCTACATTCCAGCAACAAATTTAACGCTCTGGGATTTAACCTAAAGCCCAAATGTTCAAGAAACTCAGGATGTACGTATGAAAATCCTCGACGAGCCTTCAGCAGCACCAGTTTTTCTGCTATATTGTCAGGAAAGTTGTAGAAGCAGTCGCCTAAAGTAAACATTTCTAACCCCTCAAAAACCATGTACATGTTGGTAACATCCTTAGAATCTGATAAAGCATCTAACACAAAGGACAATAAGTCGTATTTTCCAGGGAGGTCCCCTCCTCTATTTTCAACTTCTCTGAAGTATTTATCATCAAGAAGAACGTTTAAAAACGCCTCATACTTAGGTGTTTTTAAACGTCTGTTCTTGGATGAGACTTTGATCTTTTTGGAATTCGAAGAGAACGATGATTTTAACGAACTTCTCAACAGTTGAGCCACAAACTTAGTATCAGGACCAGTTAATTTATCAATGCCCTCAGTCAAAATGTCGAAAATTTCATCACACAACTCAGGGGCAACTTTTCTGCACTTTACAAGGTCAAGGTGCTCGAGCAGGTATCTTGAGTTCGGACTGAGCCCCTTCTCTCCAATTTCAGAAATACTTGTACGAACAATACTTACCAAAGATGATACGTTTTCTCCAGACATTTTGATCATGATATCCAGTTTATCTAACGATGCACCAGAAAAATCGTCAAGGTAATGAAGAACAAAACCCGTAGCTAAGTTTGCATAATGACGATGAGAAATGTTTAAAAACTTCTGAAGAGCTATTTCTTGAAGCTGTAAATCTTTTATAGCCACATTAGCATGCAACGCTTCGTCTATCATCCAACTCATTAATGGGTATAAATAACTATCGAAGTCATCATGTGACTCCAATACCCAATCATCAATGATGTCATCATAGAAAGTCATACATTTTCGTGTAATCCATTCAACCTTGAACACTGTTGATATCTTGTTCAACTCACGGAAATTCTCCTTATTAAACTCAATTCTACCACTGTACAATGAACTGAGGAATACTCTTACAATGTCAGGACTAAAATCATCTGCATCAACAGTGGTAAGTCCTAGGTTGAAAAACATGTTCTGAAAGACTGGGCTGTGGAGCCCAAGTATCATAGAGTTTGCCTTCATCTTCTGATTGTCCATTAGGTTAATCTCAATGTTTCCATGAACAGGACAGTCCAGATTTTCAATACCAAAATCTGCTGGTAAATCTATCTTTGAAGCCACCATCCTGGGACAAGAAACTTTAATTACTGTTAGCTTTGACTGATTTGTTGTCATATTATTATTTAACTGATTGAGTTTAAGAAACATTATAGACTTAACAATCAGTATTCCATTCCTTATTGTTCTAAGAAATCACAATTTTACCAGAAAGATATATTACAAATTAAATTTATTACAAGAAATATGATTATTATTCTAAGTATTCACAGTATTAAAACATTATTCACAAGTATCAAAAATAGGGGGGGGGGGGGGGGGGGGGGGGGGGGGGCCAACCATATTAAAGTATATTAAAATGTAGGATTTTTCCCGATTTTGACCCGGGGATATACTTTAATATACTTTAATATACCTACAATATACTTTAATATATCCCTATCTCCTTGGAGGCCTACATCAAAAATTGTTGCCCAAAATAAGCTTGAAATGCAATTCTTAATCGATTCCAAAAAGTTCTTGAAAAAAATATTGAAAACTGATGGAGTTATTTCAATTTTAATGAAGTCATTTTGGCTAGTATTCCGAACCGAGATATTATGTGCAATTTTCCCAATTTTGTTCATGGAGGTCTTTTTACTTAGTATCCACTATATTCAACAAACACTGAGTTATATCTTTCACATAGAGTTAGTCTCATTAAAAAATATTGAAATTTTATCGAATTTGGGCAAAAGCGAATTTGGGCAAAAGCGTATGCCCAAATATGGGCATATTTTTTAAAGCTCATAGCTCAGCCAATTTTTGACCAATCTGGATGGAAATTCATGTACTAGTCATAAAACAGGCTTATCTTGCGAATCTGAGTGAAAAATATAGTTCATCATGTAAATCTTAACGAAGAATATAAATCTTCTAATTGTAGGTATATTAAAGTATATTAAAATGTAGGATTTTTTCCGATTTTGACCCGGGGATATACTTTAATATACTTTAATATGGTTGCCCCCCCCCCCCCCCCCCAAAATAATAAATAATTCGTTTATTTGTCAGTTGGCTATCTACAGCTATAATAAATAAATGGTTCACGTTTGAGTATAATAAAAATGGTCAGAGCAGAATCGGCCTGGTGAATATTTTCATTATCTGAGCATCCGGAACAAGTTTATAAAAATCAGTCCTTGCAACTCGTTTCTCGGGGAACCTAGCGAGAGCTCTCCGAGCCAAAACCTGGTGATACAAATTTTGTCATCAAATACCGGGCAAAATCATTAACCATACAATGATTGATTAAGCGTGTATCATTTTATTATGAGAACAAGTTTCGGATATATTAACTCCAAAAATCGTTTGCATCTTTTCTAAGATAGATATAAAGATAGAATAATTAAACTCACGAACATCTGACGATTGTTTCATAATAATAATATGTACTCTACTAATTAGGACAGGTTTTAGTTAACCAGATACAAAAGCTAACTGTTGATATAATGGTATCTAACCTGATGTTTTGACAGAGGTAGAGCTGGCAGTAAATATCGTAACACTCCCACTAAATCTAACTGTGCTATGTAACCGTCTTCATCTATATCATATAACTTCCAGGCAAAGTCTCTCTGAAAAAGAAGTGAGATATTGTACAAGAGTGCCAATAAGAGATGTGGCAGAGCTATAATACTAGAGAAAATAGAACTTTAATTCATTACAATTTACATGAGGGTGTTACCATAAATGTTAAAAAAGGAGAACAGTTAAAGCGGTAGCGGATAACCTGCTCGTTTTCAGAATGCAAACCTTGTTCTCTATCAGCTGAGAAGGATGGAGGGTATCAAGCAAGTATATTATCTGTTCAATCGTTATTTCCTCAGACAAATCCTCTTTCCTTGCTTGATCTGAGAGTTATTACCAGATTACTACGTGTCACGTGACAGTTATTGGTGGTGAGAGAAGTCCTTGACCACTCTCAATTTCAAATGATGAGTATTTGAAAGATCAGTGCATTTAGCAAAAAGTTACCAGTTATCAATTTGACTTGCCAAACATAAAATTTGCAAAATAAAAGGATCACGTTTAAATACCTCTTAACCAAAGGAGAATGTGAGGTAGAATTGGCATTGGAAGAAGTTTGGCCAGTATCCCCTCTAACCCACTTTCACCGTTTATAGCAGTTATTCTTTTCACCTCTAATTCATCAAACACAGTATCCTCGAATAGATCATGAATATCTGCTGTGCCTGGAGCTTGTGCAGAGGCACCATTGCCCATTAGCGAGGAGGAATCTCAAACCAACACTTGAGTCACATATCTATGTTGTGTTAGTTTTATGATTGTTTTGTTGGGTAACGAATTTTGAATCTGAAATAATCGTTTTCCCTGCACTTGAAGAATGATTTTGAAGACATAAAAAGATAAAAGTAAGACAGCTCGTAAATACGTAATCAAAATATAAGACAAAAATCATAAAACTTAAGAAAACAGCTTAAATTATCTATTATACAGCCGTTGCATGGCCTTAGCTTCACCCCCAATAAATCGAAAAGTAGAGAATAGACCTATAATAACTTAATGATGAATAAAATTACAGCCTAATTAAAACTAAGGATCCTCGTCCTCACTATCACTATCATCTTCTCCAGGTTCTATCATACCCAACCTGGACACGGATCTAATAGGCTGCTCAGTGATAACACACGTCTTATTGGGACCACATAAAACCTCTCTAACTTTGGGTTTAAGTCCTTCCAACAACTCTGGCTCAACAATATCTTCATCATTTACAGATATAAGTTTACTGTGCTGACCTCGGCCCCACCTCACTGCACCACCTTCAGAAGTAATCCCTGCTGCATGGTCTAAACTAGCTGATATAGATTCTAACTTATGAGATGTTGGTACAAGTGTTGGTACAGACACTGTCTCGTCAGCATGAAGTCCCGTTCCAGGACCATACCCGCAGCTATAAACTTGTCCTGAAGTTGACAGGAAGAGGGAGAAGCTTCCTCCAGCAGCAACCTCTGTGATTGGTTCAGGAAGCTCTATCTCACACGGTTCCAAGATCTGCATCTCCGATGAGGGTGATATCTGGTTGTATTCGTTATTTCCCCAGCCAAAGACCTTACCGTTGTTACACAGTACAAGTGTACTGTCCGCACTGGAGCTGATTTTAGTAACGGGATGTGGTATATTGACCTCAGTGAACGAGTCCAGGGTTTGAGTGGAGCCACATCCTGTCTGTCCGTCAGCTGCCCAGCCACAAGAGAGGACACACCCATCACACGTGACAAGGAATGAGTTGTCCAGTCCAGTTGCTAAATGTTTAATTCCTGCAAGTTTTTTATCAGGTTAGGGACTGGGAAATCACAACAAATATCATAACAAATATCATAACAAATAATATCACAACAAATAATATCACACCAAATATCATAATGATACATTAATTAATGAATGAAATAATCCACTTTTTAATGAAACAAAATATATAACATGGTGACTGGTGACACACACACATTTTATTGTACCCATTGTAATAAAGTACCATAAGTATTTGATAGTAAAGTGACTAACCTTTGAGACTGAAGTGAGTGAAGGGACATGATGATGTAGTCCTAGAAAACCCAAGCTGCCCCATGTTATTACTACCCCATCCAAACAAAACCCCCGATTCAGTGAGCCCTAGTGTGTGTGCCCTGCCACTTCTTAACTGAGTCACAGGTTCTTCAACTCGCCACGTCTTTTTGTCAAACAAATGATTCTCTGAAGGCTGACCCAGTTGTAACGTCCTATTTACACCGTAAGCAGATATAACTTGCTTCTTATGTTCTTCATAAGATCCGACTATAAAACCGTTTCCAATAGCTACTTTCTGAACAACGCCACCTCGGAACAGAGGGTACACAACCGGTACAGGTCTGGATATCTCACATGAGGGTGTGATGTAAGCATAGCCACCCCGAGAGGGTGGGGACTCTAGTCCAGCTTTTGACGTTTTCAGTCTCGAGAATCTGGTGACAATAAGGCGCACTTGTTGCATTGTCATGACCTGTAAAAGTAAGATACAGTAATACCGGCATGTTTAAAATACCGCAAGATATAAAATTGTAACGAACTTGTACTTATTAAAGAGTTCTGCTTGAATATGATCCAGAGTACACTTGAGTGTAAGGTGTTTTGCGTTATATTCCATATTTGCTTTTGGAATTTTCGTAACTTAATCAACCTAAATCGAGTTCAGTGCAGCACAAACCGTCTCTTTAAATCAACTCTGGTTTTATAAACAGCTGACTCACATACATTTATTTACCGATAAATATTACTTTATTTATTTATTTTCTTTATTTAAAGGTTGACACAATGGAACAGACGGAATTCATAGTGTGATGACGTGTACTATTAGAAAACTGTACTAAATGGTGTTTGCATAAACATTTTTTAGCGTACTACGATGATTTACGAAGATTAATTATTAATTTTATCATACACTGTAAGTGAATTATCTTTTCTGAGACGGAATAATGTATAGACTTATAGAATTTCACTTACCAATTGAAACGAAAAATTGTTAATTACTAGAATATCATTTGAATGTAGCTGAAAATGGCATACAAAATAAATATAATATGAAGTATCTTGCACAAATTGGATCTTGTTATATTTATCAAATGAAAGGTATCATAATTAGTTCTACTAAATTTATATACCTCAAACTGTAATGTTAGACTTCAAAATAGATTAAAATTCGACATGATGCAAAAATTACGAGGTTAACTGTAATTGAAATTAATGTAAGTTCTGCAAAATAGATTATAATTCGACATTCAATAGACAAATTATAAGTTTAAATGTGTTTAAAATTAATGCAACTGTTTATTTATAATCATCATATCAACAAAAGTTCGATATCAGTTAAAAAATGAATATTAAAATATCAATTTAAGGATTGAAAATTGTATACATTTAAAATTAATAACTTAATAATAATAATAAATTGAAGTTTTAATAACACCACTATTAAGATGAAACTTATACTTAGGAGTGTTTAATCTAGTCATCCCAGAAAAATACTTGAACAAATTATAAGGACTGGTAACGTATGCTTGAAAATAAATCCTTAATCCTAATGCCAGAAATTGATACTTAAGAAATTCAAACTTAGAGTTAGAGATAAAATATGGAGCAATGAGTTTCAATGAGTGACCATGATGTGTGTACCTAAACAATAAACATGTCTTCCAGATACGTTGCTGCCATTCCTAACAATGCCTTGTGAGATACAGGGGGGAAGGGGGGGGGGGGGGCAAAAGTCAGTGTACAGGTGTACATACTTTGAGTCTTATTATACCACCGCCGTGTTTTATATTTGTTACTTTGCAGATGGTATACTGCAACTACTCATTCGAGGATTCCATCGCCAAAATTTGAAAATTCGATTTTTAGGGACCACACCCAATCAACATTGAATTGCTTATACTCGTGTTTGTGAACACTGAACATGTTAGAGAGTCAGAGTAGTCGCTCTATTACCGAGATGACGGGAACGACCCTCAGTAACACTTAATTGATACTCAATTGATACTCAATTGATACTCAATTGATACTCAATTGATACTTAATTGATTGGGACAGTGGTGTCGACTAGTGAGTAGACTGTCTCGTCTAGAGACAAAGGAGTGCCTCATTGTCTTAATTACTCCAAAATTAAGCATTATAGGATTCTTTATGATCGTTCATTAATTATACCTTAAGGAAGGTCTGTACGAAGTGTCATGAGTATCTCGGAATTTGCGGAATTTACGGGTTGGAAGCTGAAATTGTGTGGACAAATGACTGGACTATTCAGTATTAATATTATGTATTGATATTTTTGCATTGTGCCACGAAAATAAATGTTGGTTTAAATAATTATTGTTTCATTAAATGATCCTAAATCTATATCATAAGTCGGAATTTTACATTTCTAAAATCTATTGTGATAGCATAAGTAAGCGGGATCAATGTTCCAATGTATATTATATCGCTTATTTCTTACCGTTGCATTGTTGGTTCTTTTGCAATAGTCTAAACGTGACTGTTAGCGCTATTGTTGTAGTAAACTCTAGCTGGCGCCAGCTAGCCATTGCGTTAGACTATCTCAAAATAACTATTCTTAAGATAGCTCAGGCTATTAGGGATGAACAGCTTTATTGTGTCCAGATATTTCAATCAAGTCTTTTGATATTTTCTTTTGAAACAACATTTTGGATTTTTTTTGTTTAGTTTAAAACTAAGATAACATGAAAATCTATTACATCTACTTGAGAGTATCATGAAAATGAAGTTAAATGCAATCAACAAGAAATTTTACAGATCACTCAAACCTCTATCAACTTTACAAATCCTTCACAATAAACTTTACATTGTACATTTCCATGATAAGCGTTTGTACATGTCAGAAACTGCACATTGTCAGGGTCGTTATGAGGAGGTTAACAGTGCTGCTGGTGATATTGCCGGTTATTATCAGCAAAATTAACGAACTCCTCTCTGAACCTTTGATCAGAGAGGATGGGGATTTTATAATTGTCGGAATATTTAACTTCGGAATACTGTAAGTTAACATGTATGAGAGGAGTGTGTTTTGAATCATTAACTATTTGGTAAAAAACGACTGTTCAAAGATGAGAGCCTATTTGGAAAGTTTAACTATTCATTAGTAACTTCAGTGGTGCACTTTGATACCAATTAAATATCCGGTAACAGTTCATCCCACAGGAATCAGGAAACATTAGAATGCACACTAATCAATTCCTCCGTCTACGGGCTGGAGAAAGCGCTTGTTTTTCAAGACTTGATGAAGGACTTAAAGGACGATGGTTACTCTATCGGCTATGAGATATATTCAGGGTTTGCTTATTATACTATTATTACTAATAACTTAATAAATACTATTATCTTACTATATATAAAGCGAGACGATATATTATATGGATCCGTACCATTTTACTGACACCACGGCATCAACTTTAACGCGACTTTCCGCAAAAACCGTAAAAGATATAAAACTGAAACTTTTTTGACTGGGTCAATTATGCTTTAATGGCCTCTAAATCAGCGTGAAAAAAATAAAAAATTGGCCAAGAAATAGGAGTTTAAGAGCCCAAAATTTTGACCCCCAAGTGGTGTCATAAACGCGAATTAAATAGGTAATAATTATTTTAGTCTCTTGAGTCTTGACACAATTTTAGGGTTATACGGGTTCCTGCTATTTACTAACAAATTATAAACAATTACAAATCCCGTGTTTCCTCCACTTGCTATGGAAAAGGGAAAAGGGCCCATAGTTCAATATGATTTGAAAAACAGATGCAAAACGGATTTGAAATGGCGGAGATATCAAGGTTGGCAGTAAAATCCATACGGGATAGGATAGGATGAGGGTTTGCAGAGATAGGATAGGATGAGGGTTTGCAGTGGTATCCACTCTATTGGTGCGAGTTATTGTATTCAAAATGCTCATCAAATGATCATTCCAGTAATTGAGCTTGAACAGAATTAGAAGGAAAAATATGACGTCCTGAAGCCCAAAATTGAACCATATTACTTTCCTAGAGCAGACATTACGGAGTAATATCATGAAATAAATGGCTGAAACCGCAAGGATTATGGTACACCCTTTCTTATAGCCCCATGCTTTTTTCTAAAGATCCTGATTATTTATTTGGAATTTCAGCTAATTTATATTCAGATGTGACACTCAGTACATAGCCCGGCAGATCGGAAGCAAGGTTTCATTGAACAATAAAGTGGTTGGCGTTATTGCTTCGGATGCGACTAGTGGAGCTCTGTCATCTATAGGACCTCCAACTTCCTTCTTCATTCCCACTATTGGTTACATTTACTCGGAGGATGCTTTCCTTGACAAGGTACCTAAAATAGTAACCAATTCAACCTGAAATTCTGAGGGTTTCTATGATTGGCTCATCATGAAGGCGTTTTGCCGGTGTGGTGAGTCCAGGAGTCCCATCCTCAGCGCCTCCCATCGGCACCACCCGGCCGACACGACGTTTGAGAACATATCAACTTGCCTCTAGGCATTTCATCCTTAAATATATAATAAGGAAACAAATATAGTCCCTTCATTTCAGGAACAATACCCTACATATTTATCTCTGATTGAGACAGAAGAGATGGAGGCGATGAGTATGATAAACCTCCTGAAGTTTCTAAACGCTCAATATGTTGATATTTGGTTCCACCCTCACTCTGAAACTGCAGCTCGTTATGTTCACGAGCGATATGTTTTGAAGGTAACAATTAATAAAAAATTAATAAAAGCCTTTCACAATTCACGATCAAAACTGATTTTTTGGCATAATTTTCTTCCTTATGTGGCCTGTTAGTCAAATCTGCCTCATATTTCATCACTTGAATGGCTTCCAAAGGGCAGCTACTAAATTTTCAACAGTTTTTGGAGAATGCTGGAAACAATTTTATAAAACTGATTAAATTGCACGACTGTACGTATAGGACAAAATATATTCTTTCAGAAAGGAGGGGGGAGATTAACAATTTTTAACGAGATGCGCATCTTTGAGGAGTACGACGCAAATAACAAAGGTTAATTTTACCAAAAGATTCAATTCCGCAAGATCAAAATTCGTGAATATCAGTTCTTTTTACAATATTATCATTATAATAAATGGATTAGAATATGATGCGAAATAGCTCATTAGAAATATAGACACATATTATATGAATTTCAGTGCCTCCAGCTCCAATACAACTGCTCCTTTTGAACGGAAACGAGAGACAAATTCTTCCATTCCTCAGCGAGACAATCAACAGACGAAAATGGAGGCACAAGACCTACATATTCGGCTTCACTGTGTCACGGGACAGGTATCGGAACAGTCAAAAGAACATTTTGGAAAAGGAGTTGGATATAGAACACGAGATCTTTATCTACTTAAGATCAGAGGTACAGAATATGGATCTAGATAAGCTGAAAGCTAAGGGAGGTTTACTGTACGACCGTGCTAAAGCCGCTGATGACAAGCTCTCAAAAGACTACAAACATATCAGGAATTGCACTTTCGATGATCCAGTTGGGGATCTAACAATAGATTGTCAGAACAAAAGACCGCTCACTAGCTGGATGGGATTTGTAGCTACTGCAACTTTGCTTTTAAAAAGCCACTTGGAGAAGCTATTGATTGGTTTAGAAGAAGGGATAGGAATCTACGAGCTCAGGGAAAAACTGTTTGAAAGTATTGAATCGGAGGCACATAATATGCAGATGTACGGACAATCTGTGGAAAATATCAAATTTGTGAACAGCACACTGTCAAAGGGATATGAAGTTATAGAGTTTCGAAGGGAGAACAGCAACAGCACTGAAATCATGCGAGGGAGGGTGTCATTCGACCAGTCTGAAAAGGATCTTTCAGCAGCACTGGATGAAACTTTGAGAGATCATGTTAATGAAATAGGAGGATCTGATCCCTGCTCTCTGGACTGTCCAGCAGGAAGTCAGACGTACCTCTTATCCCACTCTCATGGTCTTTCCAAATGCTGGAGATGTCAATGGTGCGCCGAAAACTGTATATCCTCTCGTGTTAACTCTATTAACTGTGTGTATTGTAAAGAAGACGAGCTTTCAGTGAGGAATAATACCCTATGTGCACCTGTCCCACCGAACTTCATCTCCATTACCTCTCCAGAGTTTATTGTAGGCATATCTCTAGGTGCTACAGCTGGACTTGTCTGGTTCCGGGCAAAAGACCAGGCAGCTTCAGGGAATTCTGTCTAGTGGGGCCTGGTGGTTCTGGCGGATGGTCCCCGGTGCGGGTCTGCTGAGGCTGGGCGGGAGGGTTGAAACCAGGGTGACGATCAGGCTGAGAGGCGTGGTTGGTGGTCGAAACGGATGTGGTCTGCACTGAGAATCTTGCGACTAAAGTCGCTGGATAGCTCGTAAGGACGGCAGCCGGGTTGATAGCTGACGGCGTCTCGGAGGCCCTGGTCTCTCCCTGGTGGAAGTGCTCTTGCCCTGTATCGCATACCAGGCATGGGGAGCTGTCTGCCGTGGTACCGGCAACGCATGGTGGAAATCACTGATTAAAAGTACAGCGGCAGAGTCAATCCTGAGCAATAGAGCACCAAACATGACTCTGCCCATTGGCTCTGGAATTACTGCCCATGGCCCAACCCTATCCACTTTTGTTTCCACAAATAGAGGTTGGCAGTGGTGCTTTATCCAGAGCAGATGACCTTGCCGTGGTAAGGGGGCTTTACCGGCATCACAAGACCAGCCGAGACTAAGCTGTACTGTCCAACTGAGCAACACTGGACATAAGTTGCACGTGCCAAGCGATTTCCTTTACCTCATTTGATCCGTTCCCTCTTGAGCACTCATAGCCTTCATCCACAACCGAGCATATAGGGTTTTAGAAGTCTATGGTGTGAACTTCAAGGTCGGGCCCTTAACACCGATCATTAGCACCTTTTTCCCTTTCGTTTATTAGGCGGCATTTCACTACTGTCGTCGTAAGTATTACAACTATCTTTCTACGATACGCAGAAAGTGTTAAAACTCTCACTAACACACTCTCACTACAACACAGGGGCACCAATGATGGGCGCTGGAAGGATCCGGAATCGTGGGTGACTGATACAATTGCGCTGACTTCTCGGTTTAGCTGCAAGAATGTCGATCACCACCGAGACTGCGATCATCCAACATCCACTATGGCATCCTGCACTATTACTCCAACACTACATCACTTGTTTCTCAATTATGGGAGCGGGAAGGATCCGGAATCGTGTGTGACTGATACAATTGCGCAGATTATTCAGTCTAGCTGCAAGAATGTCAGTCACTACCGGGACTGTGATCATCCCACAACCACTACTACTCCAACATTACAACACTGGATTTCCAATGATTGGCGCTGGAAGGATCCGGAATCGTGCGTGACTGATACATTTGCGCAGACTTCTCAGTTTTGCTGCAGGAATGTCGGTCACCACCGGGACTGCGATCATCTAACACCCATTATGGCATCCTGCACTATTACTCCAACATTACATTACTGGATTACCAATATGGAAACTATATCACTATCTAACTATATTAATACTTATCAAGAACCTACCATAGCAAGAACAACAATAATGTCAAGCGATAAAGAGATGGATCCGCCTAAGATCAAGATAGGTGAGACATCTACTTCCGTATTGTGGCACAAATCTCCAGATTTGCGCGTAACATTTGACATTCTTGTGATTAAAGTACACACCCCAATGCGCTGGCACGCGCACTGTCACTACCACAGACCTTACAAGTTACCATCTCTCATTCCCTCAGTTTATCCTGACGTGGATGCGGATAGTATCACAGAATCGGAACTTAACCTTCTCCGCCTAAGCCCCGACCATCTCAGCGACTCTTACATCAATATACAAGCGGGAGACTTGGAGGAGCAACACTGTCGCTCTAGAGTGAACAGTGGTACCTCCGAGACTCTCCACACCACAATGAAAGGGCTGTCCGTGCTCAGTCCCTCCAGTAAGAGGGGAGACAGACGGGATTCGGCAAAATCGAGGCAGTCGGAGAAAAGGGATGCCTTGCTTAATGCTGCTAGAGCAGCAGCAAGCAGCAGCACCGATCACCGGCCGCAACCGATTACCACCCCCTCTCCTGCATCTCACCCAATTACGCCTGACAACTTGCCCTCAGCTTCAACTGGGGACAACTCCGCTCTTTCACCGAGCGCTAACACGGCTGGGCCCGGAAACCCGACCAAGACTGCCCCCGACGGAGTAAAATCCAATGGGCTTGTCGAGAGAGGGGGACCAAACCCAACGGTTACGCGTTCGAACAGCAACAGGAGGTCCAGGGGCGGCAGGGGCAGGGGTAAGAACAAGAGCAAGAACGGTGCTCCTGTCAGCTCGGACAACCCCCAACTACAACACCAACAACAACAACAACCACAACAACAACAACAACAACAGACACAACAACAAGACCGGCAGCCAGAGTTTGAGGACGGGGAGGATGAGGAGGAATTGCTTCCCACCCCCGAAGAGATATACAGGAAGGGTGATCCTGTGATCACCCTTCTTGCTGTCAAGGAAGGGGAGGGTAGTGATGCGAGCGATCTCATCGCCCGCCAACTTTTCCTCGTCCCACAGCCTCTGGTAATTACGTCGTTAGTACCGATACCTGGTGGATCGCGATTAGAGCTGGCGGACCTGGCGTCTGCGGAGGTGGTAACAGCGTGCCTTGAAAAGGCAGGCTGGACAGTCACCTCCCAGGACGTTTGGAGCCGGTACGCCTTTTACGTGCCAAATCAGTTATCGGGGAAGGGACCTAGTGATGTTGGTCTTGACCCTCATACTATAGTACGGGGACTAATGCTGAGGAACGTAGCGCATGGTCTACCATGCAGCTCTCTGAGGCACGTGTCCAATACCTGGGAGACTGTGGAAGTTCAGCAACAGGAAGGCGGGGGTTTGTCGGTTGGGTCCAGGCAGCGGCAGCGGATCTGGGTGGAGGTCTCACCTGAGGGAGAGACCTTCCTCAAGGAACATAGTTTCCTACTAGAAACGCTGGTCGCTGCTGTACGCCTCAGGCCGGCCCCCAGACACAGTGCCCGAACCAAAAGGTCCTAGTACTGGTCCGGTGAGGGAAACTGCTGATGCTGAACTCCACGTCTCCAACACCAACACTAATGCAAACCCCACCACCCCCACCACCAATACTATTCCAACCGATACCACCCCCACAAACAACAATAACATACAACGACATAAGACACGCAGAGGTGGAAGGGGCAAGAAGACCACCTCAAAAACTACAGCCAAAACAGGTAAAACTCATTTTGAACATTACTCTGTTACCCAAATCAACCTCAAACGCAAGTACAACGCCTGGAAAACCCTGCTAGTGAACACTCACGGCAGGAAAAATCCTATTATACTTGCTACGGAACCATACACAAACAACAAGAACCATATCCCAACTATAAGCAAGGACCTAACTGAGTATTATTATAAGGCCGGGGACATTAGGCCACGTGCCGCCGTAGTAATACACAAAAACCTAGCCGTCAAAAGCTGGGAACTGCTGCAATTTACAACCCCGGACCAGGTAGCCATTAAGATCCAACTAAGCTCAACAGAAGTAATTCTGGCAGCTTCGTACATGGATATTAATGGCCCTGCTCCATCCCACGAGACAACACCTTTAGCCAAGTATGCTATTGATAACAACATACCGCTTATCATAGGGTCTGACACCAACTCCCAACACACTCTCTGGGGTAATAGGATGTGCAATAGTAGGGGGGAGGATCTCCTAGATTTCCTCTCGTCACTAGGGCTCGCCTGTTCCAACAGAGGGTCAACACCCACATTTCTCAACTCACGCGGTCATAATTCCATTATTGATCTCACCATAACTAACCAAAAGGGGGCGGAGCTGATCAGCAACTGGCACGTTAGCGATCTTTACTCTAACTCAGACCACAGATATATTATGTTTGATATAACATCCGGCCCCAAAAAAGAACCACGTCAAATACGACTAGTCAAGCACACTGACTGGGCGAAATTTGACGAGATTCTACAGAACAACAACGACCTCCACAGTAACGGCATTATCACACCCCAAGAAATCGACCTAAAGGTCAACACCTTAAACTCTGCTCTCAGGACAGCCTTCGAGGAGGCATGTCCTATAACTTACATCTCGAGTGCGGTCCGCAAACCTCCCTGGCTAACTCGAGAAGTCGAGGAAGCTCAGAGGGGAATAAGACGCAAACTCATTACAGCCCGCAGAAAGAAAACTGACGCTTCGTGGCTTGCTCTCCGAGAAAGCAACAAGCAATACAACAAGATCCTGTCAAACTCCCAGCGCAATGCGTGGCGGAACTTTTGCAGAGACACAGAATCGGTCAAAGAATCTGGAAGGATGAGCAAGATTCTGAAAACCTGTACTGACACCAACAACAAACTAGAAGCCATTTATAAACCCAACGGAGAACTCACCAAAAACGCAGAGGAGACACTGGAGGTCATGACTCAAACCCACTTCAGGGAGAGTGTTACTGATCCGCCAGTCCCGCCCCTCGGCCCAATACCCATCTCCTCAGACTTACTAGACAAAATCTACAGCCCTGAAAGAATCGAGAAGGCCCTCATGTCTTTCGATCCTTTAAAGGCTGCAGGACCGGACACCCTGAAACCGATCATCTTCCAGAAAGCCTGGAACCATATCAAAGATATAACACAAAACATCATGACAAATAATCACAAAACACAACACATCCCTACTTTGTGGAGGGATTCCATCGGAATCTTCCTCCCCAAACCCGGCAAAACCGACTACAACAAGGCTAAGTCTTTTCGCACAATCACTCTCTCACCTGTGATGCTAAAATTACAGGAGAAAGTGATTCTTTGGCACATGCAACACGACCTCAACATAGCAAATGACATAAACAAACGTCAATTCGGCTTTAGGAAGGGCTGCTCAACAGAAGCGGCTCTTCATAAAGTTACCCACACCATTGAGCGCAGAATAGCTAAGAAGGGATATGTCCTAGGAGTTTTTCTTGACATAGAGGGCGCCTTCGACAACGTCTCGTTCAAAGCTATTTCTGATGCAGTCAGGGCCACGAAAGTGGACCTAGCTACAGCGCAATGGATCATCAACATGGTCACTAATCGCTTTATCAATCTAAGTCATAAGGATAAGTCGAGAAGGGTACAGATCAGGAGAGGCTGCCCACAGGGAGGCATCCTTTCTCCTTTTCTATGGAACCTGGTAGTCGACGATCTCCTCTCCTTTACTGCGAAGGACATACCGGGTTACCTGCAAGCCTTCGCAGATGACCTGGCTTCACTAGCAGAAGGAAATGACCTGGACATCATCTGGAACCGCACATGCAAAACCATCAATACGATAGAAAAATGGTGCCAAACCAAGGATCTATCTATCAGCGCACTCAAGACTCAGATAGTCATGTTTACCTGGAATACTAAGTGGACTTTGAGACCAATAAAAGTTGGCAACAACATTATAGGTCTCTCGAAGTCGGCTAAATTCCTAGGTGTGACATTAGACAGCAAACTCAATTACAATGAACATATCATCAACATCACCAAAAAAGCCACGGCATCCCTCATGCAATGTCGAAGAGCTGTCGGCCCCACATGGGGTATGAGCCCTAAAACTTGTAAATGGATGTTCACAGCGGTCATTCGACCCATTCTGTCCTACTGCTGTAGTATATGGATCAGGGCAATTGACACGGACTACAATGCGAGGAAGCTCAAACGTGTGCAGGCATTGGCACTGAGAATGATGTCTGGTGCCATGCCAAGTACACCCTTCCTCGCATTGAATCACCTTACTGACACCCCAGACACCATACTATTCCTGAGGGGCGAAGCAGCGAAGGGAGCAGCAAGGCTTCAAGCCTACGGCAGCCTCACTCTTGAAACTATCGCCCACAGGAAGGGAACTATCAAAAACCACACCACAATCAACAAACAATTCATGGAGGATCTCAACATACCACCTAGAGCCACAAGAGACCTCACAGCACCAACCATGATGCTGGGACGGCACTTCACCGTCACCACTCCTGGAACTAACAACACTGAATACAGAACCGCACTCCAACACACCATCGACAACATTACCAGTGAAACGATCACCTGCTACACAGACGGGTCTCTATCAGACTCCGGAAGTGGGGCTGGGTACATCATCACGACTGACAACAACAACACCATCCTGGAAGAGAGATCATTCAAGCTCCCTGATTATTGCACTGTCTACCAGACGGAGCTTACTGCAATCATTGAAGCCTGCAAGTATCTCTCATCCTACACCAATTCACACATCATTATATGGTCTGATAGTCTCTCCTCCATACAAGCTATTTCCTCGCTTTCAACGAGGAGCAGAACTACTAGAGACTGTTATGACACCCTTAACGCACTCGGATCGAACAACACTCTAGAGATCCGATGGATCGCAGCCCATATTGGGTTGTGGGGAAATGAAAAAGCGGATGAGCTGGCCAAGCTTGGCACGACCAGCGAACACGTTTTGAAATGCCCAATCCCTCAATCTTACATCAAACGACAAATCAACAACAAAGTCCACAGACTGAATCAGGATATCTGGTTAACGGATGGTCCTAGACACACCAAACTAACACTTGGCCAAAAGCACACCAAAATAATCAATAATATAAACACGTCACTCATCAACAATAGACAAGACTATAGAACCGCAGTCCACCTAATCACGGGCCACTGTGGCTTAAACAAACACCTTCACACCATCCGCAAATCTAGCACCAGTGCTTGTCCTATGTGCGGTGACGGAGAGGAAACTGTCTCACACTTTCTTGGACAGTGCCCAGCTATTGCCCAACTAAGAGGTCAATACTTTCGGGACTACTACCTCTCGGTCAACGACATATTCGACAACCACCACATTACCACAATCGTCAACTTCACAAACCGCACCAAACGCTTAATAGTACCAGAAGAACTGGATCAGACTGGCGTAACTTAGCGCATTAACACATCACATTTGCAGCCTTGCCTAACTGATCTATAAACTCATCTGGTACCAAAGCGCGGTATTCCCATTCAGATCATTACCACCACCGTCCTCCACAATTCACACTGTTGTCTCCTATAAACCCCCCCTCATCCCAGAGGTAGGCAAAGCATCTTAATGCTATCCTCTAGTGGGCTTTCTATGCCCAGCCTCTCTTAAAAAAAAAAAAAAAAAAAAAAAAAAAAAAAAAAAAAGCTGGAGCAATAAAGATTGCCACAGCCATGTTTATATTTGTTCACAGAAACAGACCTGTCATAAAAGCTTCTGATCCGGTGTTTTGCTACTTATTCCTCTCTTCACTGGTTCTGGGAGATCTCCTGACAGTGCTCGCTCTTTTTGAGCCTTCCACCCTTGCTTGCAACACAGAATATCACGTCTGTGCTCTATTTGTGTGCTCTATCTGCTCCAATCTCTTCTATCGCTCCCTCAAAATTTACAAGATCTTCATGGCTGCTGAAAACTTCCAGCGCAGACCACAACTATTCAAGTTTCTGACACGAAAAGCACAACTTACCATCCTTTTGATTGTGCTAGGGTCAACAGCTGTCCTTACTCATTTCTCTATCATGAGCAAGGGGTGGATTTACGCTAAAGTAATTGTTGCTCATAGGAGTTTCAACAAAGTTTGTACATCCTCCAATCTCATAGCCACCTGCTACCCGTTCATCCTCACCTGTCTTCTGCTAGTTGGTACTCTATTCCTCGCCTACAAGATGCGGCTATTTCCTCATAACTTCAAGGAGACCACCACCATCTTCACAACCAGTCTGATGATTATGGTGATATGCCTCATTTTCCTGAGCGGCTACTCCATCTCTGAACCCCCTATCAAGTCCCTGTTGAGAGCTATCATCTACTTCTGCATCTCACAAATCTTTCTCGTATGTCTCTTTCTGCCTAAAATAGTGGTCCTGCTGAAGAACGAAGATTTGGTAGATGCAGCCAGAAAGCAGAGTAGTTGCACTACTAGTAATGCGACAGTGGTAACCGCTGCAAAGATTGTCAAGACTACTTAATCCATACTAAGTCCATCAATCTGCGATATTCGAGGCATCTTTATTCCTAGACAGAAGGGTCAGGATTGGTTGTCCATTCCTCGAATAGATTAATGTATACTGAACAAAAGTAACTGAGCAAATTGACAGATTGATATCATTGACCAGTCGATTGAACAGCCAACTCATTCTGAACAAGAAACAAGATGGCTTGGCCATATAATAACTTATTTGTGTATATTTTGAATATTCTTGCTCCGATAGTCGATACCCTGTATTAGTTTCGCACTTTAGGAACAGAAATTTGGAAAAAAAAACTTCCTTTTTATAAATATTATTGTAAATTTGTATGTATATTGTAGGTGAGTGGCCCACCATGTTCTCGAGGTCAAGGAGATGGTTCCTTAAGATTACATTTGATTCTAGGATATGACATGTTCTCGAGGTCAAGGAGTTGGTTCCTTAAGATTCCATTTGATTCTAGGATATGACATGTTCTCGAGGTCAAGGAGATGGTTCCTTAAGATTACATTTGATTCTAGGATATGACATGTTCTCGAGGTCAAGGAGATGGTTCCTCAAGATTTCATTTGATTCTAGGATATGACATGTTCTCGAGGTCAAGGAGATGGTTCCTCAAGATTACATTTGATTCTAGGATATGACATGTTCTCGAGGTCAAGGAGATGGTTCCTTAAGATTACATTTGATTCTAGGATATGACATGTTCTCGAGGTCAAGGAGATGGTTCCTTAAAATTACATTTGATTCTAGGATATGACATGTTCTCGAGGTCAAGGAGATGGTTCCTTAAGATTACATTTGATTCTAGGATATGACATGTTCTCGAGGTCAAGGAGATGGTTCCTCAAGATTACATTTGATTCTAGGATATGACATGTTCTCGAGGTCAAGGAGTTGGTTCCTTAAGATTCCATTTGATTCTAGGATATGACATGTTCTCGAGGTCAAGGAGATGGTTCCTTAAGATTACATTTGATTCTAGGATATGACATGTTCTCGAGGTCAAGGAGATGGTTCCTCAAGATTTCATTTGATTCTAGGATATGACATGTTCTCGAGGTCAAGGAGATGGTTCCTCAAGATTACATTTGATTCTAGGATATGACATGTTCTCGAGGTCAAGGAGATGGTTCCTTAAGATTACATTTGATTCTAGGATATGACATGTTCTCGAGGTCAAGGAGATGGTTCCTTAAGATTCCATTTGATTCTAGGATATGACATGTTCTCGAGGTCAAGGAGATGGTTCCTTAAGATTACATTCGATTTTAGGATATATGACAAGGAATACAATACAATACATGACATCTAGCCGAATGAACCTCGGTGCAAATTTTGTAATCATTAAATCACATAACCATTATATTACATATATATATAATGTAATTTATATGTCCGCTTTATGCTTTCAATTTTCGAATAAAATGTGTATCTTCACTATAAGTCTTGTTTGTTACAAAATACAGTACTTTTAGTTCAATTCGCTAAATTTTTCTAAAGATTGAACTTTCTTTTTGTGTTAATGACTAAATGACTGTTATCCCCCCCCCCCCCTGTTATCAACAAATTATTAATGGCCGTAAAGTAGACAGAATCTTATAAGATTCCATCTTAAATTAGGAACGAGAATAGATTTTGATCGTACAATGTAGGTACTTTTTGAAAATTGACTAAGGGCGTTTGAATTTAGAAAAATTCATTTTGATAACTCTCTTCCCCCCTCCCCCCACCCCAAACCATCTACTAACAGCAAACTCACCAGACTGTAAGGAAGCATTTCTAATTTCGTCTGCTATTTTTGCTTTCTTTTGTAGGCTAGACTCTTCTTTCTCTTCTTTCCCTTCTTTCCCTTCTTTATCTTCTTCATATTCTTTCCCTTCTTTCTCTTCTTTCTCTTCTTCCTCTTCTACCTTTTCTTCCCGGATCACTAACTCTTTTCTAACTCGACCAGGGGGCGATATCCCTGGACTGTTCCTTTCTTCAATTGTCTTTAACTCCGCATCCACTATAAATTAAGTATAAAAACAATAAACATCAAACTTCTGTACTGATTGTTCTATCGGGAATGTGTCAGTGTCAAGAAGTGCACATACCCGAATAAGGGAATGTGTCCGTGTCAAGAAGTGCACATACCCGAATAAGGGAATGTGCAGTGTCCGTGTCAAGAAGTGCACACACCCGAATAAGATCGAAGTCCTATCCACAGGATTATTAGTGCACAGTAAACTAGGTTAGCTGCTAGCTACGGAACCTGAAATAACATGTAACCTACCTCATCAACTGACTTGCAGTGTTGAGTGCACATAGGGGGGGGGGGGGGGGGGGGGCGGGGGGCCAACGTTTTGTAGATTAAAGGTAGATAAAAGTAGAATGTCATCCATTTTTTTGCGAATTCAACTATTTTAATTCCACAATCATTCATAAACAAGAATTTCGCCACGGTTACACCACGCACGATTAATTTTCCCTGCTTAAACCGTTAATATTTGTAACGAAACGTTAATTTTATCGATTAATAGAAATTAGATATTGGATTATTTTGTTGTTCAAAAGTTGCAATATTTTCATCGTAATTTGTCATTGCACTCGCAAATTTTGGGCTAATTTAATTTGAACGGCATCGTTTGACAATTGAAATTCGCGTTGGATACTGCAATTAACTAACACATGCCGAGCGTCGCGCGCAGCATAACAGACCCTTCCTATACTCATAATTATAGGGGAGTGGTCTATATTGCGAAGGAGCAGACTTTTGTTGACATCGCACTTCGCAGGACCGTCGGGGCCACCTCATAATATATCCAAACCCGATTACTTATTCCCTACGATCTTTTTGCCTTCGGCAAGAGCAGGGAACAAAATGAAGAGATTTCAGTTTGAACAACATTTGATGCTTCAAGTTCAACCAGTGGTTGTTAGCCAGTAAACCAGTGGTTGCCAGTAAAATGTACCTTAACCAGTGCCAGAGACTCTATTGTAACATATTACATATTGTTATATGTCAAGAAATCAGGAATATGATATGAAAGGATGCCGTGAAACGGATGTGAAACATGACGAAGTTATCAAGCAATTTGTTTATCTTGTTAACAAAATTAATTGGGTCATCAAAAATTACTTAATCACTATGTGATAGCTTGCTACGACACCTTAATTTGGCTCTCTGCACGATTCCCATAATTCGGAACTAGTGTCAATCCAATCACCTGATCACACGTAATGAATAAACTTGTTATGATTCATATCTCGGTCATCTGACTCTGAGAAGCTACAACTCCCTTTTTTTAGGGCAAATGTAATTTGAATGGCCAAACAAAATCCAATACTATTTAGCTCGACCCGATTATTCAAGTTATCAAATATTTGAAAAAATGAGTGTACTGACTTTTGGCCTCCCCTGTAGGAGTAATATTTAAGAAAACAATCCTATTCTTTACATCAAGCCAGTGAAGATTTATCAGGTCATCATCAAGATGTTTATGTTTAATATTTACCAGTAACAGCTTTTGCAGCAGCATGGAGCTGATGTAAAAGCTCCTTACCAATACCAAAGTATAAACAGTTAATCTAGACATTACACAATGAAATATATATTTCAGGTCCTGTAAAATATTCCTACACGTCTGTAAGGATTATGTGAAATGTGAATGTATGTATGACATTGCTAAGATGTAACATTTCGTCGACACCTATGTGTCTGTAATCGAGACAAAGACACAAATTCTTTTTCACAAACAGCACAATTAAAATTGTAGTTAGCCACTTTGTCCCGTTCATCAACATCATATTTTTTTTGGGATTTACCAGCCATATCAGAAGGGCCCTCACACGAATGAGAATCGTACTTGTTTCTCGACATAAATTTACAAAAGCATAGCTCACAGATAGTCTTTTTTGTGTTGGCGTGTTTTCTAAAGGTTTTAGACTTCCTAT